ATTTAATATCACATTATTTGTTATAATAGATAATAATCTATTATGCTCTTGAAACGAACATTAGGCCAGAAAATAATATTTACTTTTTTAGATTTAATTCATTGGACGTATAACTTTTGAAAACGTGATCTGACAACAACAGTTAACTTTCTTCAATAAACCTGAATAATTCTTAATAACAATATTTGTAATTCTTATCAATATGAATATCGGCACACGACGTGAAAATTAGCCCACTATAACACGATACACGCATCTCAGGCAACGAAGCATGGAAAGAATAGCTATAAGTAATATTTGTATATGTATAATATTATTTTCGCTTCGTTGTATGCCTATTAATTGAAAAAATATCCCATTTTGTGGCCTAGCGATCATTTCCAGGACAAAAACAAATTGTAAATAATATGACATTAAACATCCGAGAAACAACGTACCTTCGAGTACATTTATTCTAAGTTTTTTGTTAATGATTTAAAAAAAATTTTTTTTATTAATAATTATAAGAGAATAAAATTATTTATATTTGCGCTTACGACTAATGATTGTTTAAAGTCAATAGACAATAATCAATACAAAGGAGAACATTGTATATTAGCAGAAACTTAATTTTCGTCTAAGTATATTTAAGACAAATTTTTAATAAATACACTTTAATTTATAAGTAAAAAAATTTTGTTTCTAAGAAAATGTATTTTTTTTAATCTCAAGGAAATTAATGAAACACATGATTAAACGTGCATCATAAAATTTATTCTTTATTAATTATTATATTATACTATTTATATAATTATCCTGTTTTAATTCAGAAACAAATATTCGCAGAACCTACAAATTAAAAAAATCACAGAACTTACAAATTAAAAAAATATAAATCGAATTAAAAAGATATTCGATATCGCGGTCTGCGGGCGAAAAAGTATATATCTTTATATGAATTACAAATATTACATAAAAAATTAAAGCTACATATAAATATATAATGTTTTGCAGTACATTGTCTTAGTATAAAAGAAAATTATTTTTAAAAATATAGTTACTTATACGGAAAGAATAGTTACTTTAACATTTACCTCATTTCAAAATATTTAATGTAATTACAAATGTATGTAATTAAGCTGTGCGCTAAGATATAAAAGAGTTCCTAAAAAGTAATATTATAAAATATAAATATAATTACGTAAATGAAGATTAAAGATCTCTAAGTTTTAATGAACACAAAATGGCTTAACGCAATAAAAATAATTAAAAATAAAAGAAAATTTAAAGACTCTAACAATCAGTTTTATTGAACACAAAGTTTCTTAACGCAATAAAAATAATACAAAATAGAAGAAAGTTAAATGTCCCTAAGTTTTAATGAATACAAAGTGGCTTAACGCAATAAAAATAATTAAAAATAAAAGAAATTTAAAGTCTCTAAGTTTTAATAAACACAAAGTGCCTTACTATAATAAAAATAAATATGTAAATAAAAATAATTCTTTTACACTTTATCACGTTTATGACTATTCATACACTTTATTACTGTTATACTGATATTACATTTATATATAAATAAACAAAACTGAATAAATACTAAAAAGCGATACTAAAAAACATAGAAACAGATTATTTAGATGTAATATCAGTATAAGTGATAAAGTATAAAAGAAAATTAAAAGTTTTTAAGTCTTAATGAACATAAAGTAGCTTAACATAATAAAAATAATTGTGTAAATAAATATAATTCTGTAATTATATTTATTTATTGTACACAATTATTTTTATTATGTTAAGTTACTTTATGTTTATTAAGACTTAAAGACTTTTAATTTTCTTTTATTTAATGACATTTATATTTTATTGCGAAATTGATTGTGTATCCAAGTTTTTATTGCTGCTGGCTGTCGATTTTTCAAAATGTTTTTGCGCGTTTTGGATATTATTTCCTTTAACGAAGGTAAAGTAGAATTATTAATATTCGTTTCGAAGAGTAATAAAGCTGTTTGCTTTTCTTCAGAAGTCCAACGTATTCTTCTGGTCTTTCCGTAAGGAGGTGCTAAACATAAATTATAATTAAATCTATAAATATATCGTCACAAATTAAGAAAAGTAATTTTAATATTAAGAAAAAGGTATGCATTTCTTTAATGATTTTATATACATGTATAATTGTAATATTATTTGACTTACTGAATCGTTTCTTTTTTGGCGCACATTCTTCATCTGAATTATTTATATTTTCTATGGCGCGTTTTTTTACATTTTTTGTTTTAGCAAAATTTTCTTTGGCAAATTATTCTCTGATGCTTCGTCTTCAACTATATTGTTAAAAATAAACTTTATGTAAAAAAATATATAATACAAATTTTCTTTTTTCATTTATATATATATGATAGATTATCATATGAAATTGTCGTTTTTGTGTCAAAATAAAAATGTTGTACTTTTAAGGAAATAGATTTTATACACTCAAAATATACATTATTAGCAATAATATTTTTCTGTCTACTTAATATTAAATTGTATATTCCTTTTTTTATTCGAGCTTTTTAAATCGAACGAAATAATCCAATTATCAAATATCAGCAATTCCATATGATACAATCTAATACAATTACTAACAATAAGTATAATATTATAAAAGTATTCTCTAAAATTATAAAAGAATTGAAGAACTTTTAAAATACCTAAGCTTTGAATTTCGTTAATACTATTCTCTGAAGTATTAGCATCTGTTGTACTGTTTGAATTAGTAGTATTAGTATTTGTATTATTAGTAGTGTCAATATCAGTGTTATGTGTAGATATATCTTGAGTTTTCTCTAAAATTTTGGCCATATTTAAAATATCAGATTCTACTACAGGCTGTCTGTAAATATTTTTATGTATATCCTTATGGTGACCCATAAAATCAGCAATGAGAGAAATTTCACTATCTGGTAAGTGTGAACATTTTGTTGCCATGTCTTTCCGTAAAATAGTCCCACGTAAGCTTTCTTTGTTCTCTGCTCCACATAGATTAGCAAATTCACGCATCAATTTACTCGCTCTTAAATATCTAAATCGTTTTTTATCTGCACCTGGCAATCCAAATATATATGGATTTTTTGAACTTACTCCTGCCAATTTCCGATATCTTAAAATTATGTCTAAAGCCTCTTTCATTTTAGCATTCAAAAGGACTGGGACGTTCCGATTTAGCTTGCCACGAATTGTGAAACGAATGTACTTTAAAGCAGATATTTTTTCTTTTTGTGGTAACCTTTTATATAATTCATCCTCTTTTGTAATTTTTATGAAATTTTTGTAATCAACAATGTAAGCTCTTTCTATCTCTCCTGCACGTCGCCGATTGAAAATTTGAATCATTATTAATATTGCTTCAGCAAGTGATTTCCAAGCACAAAACGTGAATTTATTTTTTATTTCTCGCATGCTAGATACTCTTATTTCTTCTAAATAATTGGTTAACTTTTTGATATCTGATGTTTTCGGAAGATTAACTTTTTTCTTTCGACTGTTTCTAGTCTGTATTTCTGTAACTGTTTTATTAACGGTACTACCATATTCGACTTCTAAAATCTTTAGAAAATTTTTTGCTGATTTTTGTTTTTCGTATTCATGTTGTTTAATAAATTCGTTGATTAAGATCTTACATAATTTTTTTAAACATGTGCCCATAGCTGTAGCATTATATGGTATATCATATGATTCTGTGTCTTCATTATATTTAGCAATTATATTTACTGCTTTTATAGCAATATCATAATATTTCGGGTCAAATAGCATTTGTAATTCTTGTATTGCCGGTTCTATTGATTTTAATACTTCTAAATATCGTCCAAGAAGTCGTAATTGTTTCGTCGTATGTGGTCTCCTAAATGCTGCAATCTATGAATTTGACAGAGGTAATTTCCGTATAGTATAATTAATAAATCGTACTTTATTAATTTATAAATATTGTCATTTCGCATGACAGGAAGAATGTCCTTTCTTAATTTATGGCTTGCACGATTATGAACAGATTGTGCAGCGCTTCGTGCTAATTTTAATACATTTCGAGTTGTATCTTTCTTCTTAGCACAAATGCGATAATGATGCCTGAGATTATGTATTGCATAATGTCCTCTACACTTAGAACATGGTAAAAAATAAGAACCACATTGCTTCTCTTCTTTAGTAGGTCTTCTTACAACAATCATGGAACCGTTATTTAAATCTGCCTGTGTATTATATTTAAAATTGCCTCTTTTTCTTATTTGACTAATTGCATCTCTTCGCTCTCTAGATTTTTTTGGAAGTAATAAAAACATTTTTACTTCTTCTTCATTTTTATGTTTTAATTCTAGGTGCCGAGCAATTTTACTTTGCATAGTATTGCAGTAAAAGCAAAAATTATATTTTTTATCTCCTTTGGGCCCTTGAAACAATTCTACAAATAATTCATCATCTTTGCATGTTTCTATTTCTTTTTCTAACATATTTTTTTCGTTTGCATTTTCTGAAGAATTTGCTAATATGCTAGATTCATTATTTGCAATTTCTAAATCATCATTTATTTCAATATCAGTATGTTCAATATCAGTATCATTTGAACTCTGAATAGATGGTTCATAATCTGAATCTTTATCGCTTACATTAGAAATTTTATTTTTCTCAAAATCTGAAATAATAAACATTTTAAAAGATTTTATTTTAAAAATATATGAATGTTAAAAATATTATGCTTTATTTTTATCAAATTATTCTATCAAATTATAGAAATGCTACGTAAAGAAAATAATTGAGTAAAATTAATAAATTTTATTTATTGACAATTTAATAAGTTAATACTTAATGAATTTAATTTTTAAAAATAACAAATTAAAGTTAAATTATATTTAAAAAGTATACCACATTATTTACATTAAGTTAGCTTAATTCAAAAGAATTTATAAACGATATGTAACGCGTCGTCTACAATGAGATTTTTAGACGTAAGACTTAAGAAATTGACTAATACAGTCGAAGAGAGATTATTCTTCTCTAATCTTGTCTGTGATTGTTCAATTTCTTACGTCTTACGTTTTAAAATCTCATTGTAAACGACGCTTAACTACGTAAACTGTTACTTTTTTATTATTGTGAGCGAAGAAAAAAAATTAAAAATTAGTTTATATTATATTTTTAGTTATTAAATTAGTATTAGTTTATATTACCCTACGTAATAATTTGATGGATAAAAATTATTAAATATTTTATTTAAGCTTAATAACAAATCTAAATTTAACTTTTATAATATTGTTCTTTTTAAATATACTGTAAATATACTGTCTTTAGCGAAACCAATATTGCGAACATAATTAAATACTTTTTAAAGGAACAAATTAATAAAAATATACATACCTGTATTTTGCGAGACATTTTCAATTTGTGAGTTACTGCAATATAATTTATTGTCATTGTTATTTATATCGTTGTTTATAGAAGAATTCTTAACTCCGTTTAAATCACAAAATGGTACTATAGTGCTGTCCAGTTCAGTATTTTCAGTGATAGATGTAAACGTGGATTTATTTTCAGCTAGTACTTCGTGAATCATTTCTTCTCCATTATTATTATTTAAATTTGTACCACAATTTTCAAAATTATTTATGTCTATTCCATTCATATCAGAAACATTTACATCAGAAAGATTTACATCAGAAAGTTCCAAATTCCCCAGAATAGATGTATTACATGAACTATTTGCTGTTGTGTCACTACTTTTTGATAAAATAGTCATATTTATTTTGCATTTCTTGTCTTCTATAATTCGAGGATAGGTTTTAGAAGATTTAGTTTTATCTAATGTATGACTTTGTAAATTTTTATTAGTTATAACATTGCTCTGTAATTTATCATTGTGAAAATCGGACTTCACATCCAAATCTAAATATGAGTTTACTATAGTATTTGATTCCTCATGTTGAATATGAAATTGATTTATTGTGTCTGCATTGGAAGCACATTTGTCATTATTTGTTATATTAATTGGCTCATTACCTGCAAATAATTCAAAAACATCTTTGTAAATATTACTCTTAATAATATAATTTACACGTATGGCTTTTATTGTTGTTTGTGTCCATTAAAAATTGCTTTCGACAAAGATTTCATTACTGCGTAATGCTACCCAGATATCACAATAGTTCGCAGAGTTCAAAAGAATTCGCAAAGAATTTAGTGAAGCTTCAATAAATTCTTTGCGAACTCTTTTGAACTCTTTGCAAACTATTGTGCTATCTGGGTAGAATAGCAGTTCATTATTTATAACAATTTTTTAATAATATTATAACATAATACACATTTTTTAAATATATTTTTATTGAAATAAATTAAATTACTTTAAGAGTTTAACTAGGCTCTGTAATATATAAATATAAATTTAACATATATAAGATAGGCAATAAGAGCCAAATCGCGGATGACAGTACGTTATTCTAAACGAAACTAAATTTTTTCGTTAGAATTAAATACCTGTGCACAAGGCACCAAATTTTTACTTGGACACGGCCAAGATATAAAATTGGAATAATCTCTACAAGAGATTTTTAATTCCATGTATCCCCTATTCCCCCTAAAGAATTAAAGTGCGTTTTATATTTATATATTACAGAGCCTAGTTAAACTCTTAATTTATACACGCTGGCTTAAAGGCGTTTATTTACCAACATTAATATATATAACAGAGAAAAGTATAGAATCGAAAGGATCTGAATAGCTCAGTTGGAAGAGCAGTCGCCCGGCAAGCGAAAGGTCTCGGGTTCGATTCCCGATTCTGCGACTTTCGGATCTATATTTTTCTCTCGCACTTTAATTCTTTAGGGGGAATAGGGGATACATGGAATTAAAAATCTCTTGTAGAGATTATTCCAATTTTATATCTTGGCCGTGTCCAAGTAAAAATTTGGTGCCTTGTGCACAGGTATTTAATTCTAACGAAAAAATTTAGTTTCGTTTAGAATAACGCACTGTCATCCGCGATTTGGCTCTTATTGCCTATCTTATATATGTTAAATTTATATTTATATATTACAGAGCCTAGTTAAACTCTTAATTTATACACGCTGGCTTAAAGGCGTTTATTTACCAACATTAATATATATAACAGAGAAAAGTATAGAATCGAAAGGATCTGAATAGCTCAGTTGGAAGAGCAGTCGCCCGGCAAGCGAAAGGTCTCGGGTTCGATTCCCGATTCTGCGACTTTCGGATCTATATTTTTCTCTCGCACTTTAATTCTTTAGGGGGAATAGGGGATACATGGAATTAAAAATCTCTTGTAGAGATTATTCCAATTTTATATCTTGGCCGTGTCCAAGTAAAAATTTGGTGCCTTGTGCACAGGTATTTAATTCTAACGAAAAAATTTAGTTTCGTTTAGAATAACGCACTGTCATCCGCGATTTGGCTCTTATTGCCTATCTTATATATGTTAAATTTAAATTACTTTACTTTATGTTATCTTATTACATACTTCATAATTTGTTAATGATACATATATCCAATTTATTATATCTTTCACTGCTCTTCTAAATTGCATCAGTGAACCAACTGCATCTACAATGTTAAACTGTGCATTCTTAAATTTACTTTGTGAAGCAATTCTGAAGATTGTTACAAATTATTAGTATAGAAATTACTTATAATTAGTATAGCGTTAGTATCATTTCTATGTTTCTTCACACGCAATACATTTTTATTATTTAAAATTAAATTTATTTTATTAAAATTAAATTAAGATTCTATTAAATGCTTAAATTATTGTATCATTTGATTTACTTAATATTAGAATAGAGGTCTGATAAGATATATTTTAAGATATATACTTTCGACAAAGATTCTCTTACAGCACAGTGCTAGAATATTGAAACTTCAGTATTTAAATACTAAAAGTAACAATATTAAAGAATTTGATCTTTCACATATAATTTATGCAGTATAATAGGCAATAATTATAATTATAAAAAAAATCAGTATATAAAAATTACCAGTAGTTTCATTATTTTCACATTGGTCACTTGACCCTTTGTTAACATCCTTTATTAGAATTTTTGGTGAGTTGGTATCTATGTTCTTTTTTATTTCTATAAGAGTGTGTCTTTCATCTGAAAATAACTAAAATTAATTGCATTTTTTCCGTAACATTTGTTAAATATTTTTTCATTTGAACCAATTGGATATGATTGCAATTTCTTGTATTTTTTATTATTATTTATATTTATTATAATGTTCTAAACATCCAAAAATTTTAAATAATATTTTATTTTTCAAATCCTGGAATACACCATTATACATAGAATTATTCCAGGGCAGTCCTGAAAATCACTATTGTCCTGAAAGCTGCCATTATGCAAGTGTCTTGGAAGACTTTAAAACATAATATCTCGAGAACGGAAAGAAACATTTAACTTTTTTAGGTCACAATCAGTTTATTTTACTTACCCGATTTACAAAGAAATATTCCAACCCATCGTTTCCATTGTCTAATTTTATCAAATAATCTTTTTTCTTTTTAATTAGACTAGTAGATTTCACAACTATTAATGTTTTAGTATGTTTCAATTTGAGTAAAGAAAACATAGTTTGGCTAAAGTAAAAAGCTAAAAATACCAAAAATAATGAAATATTTTCATCAAAACTAATATTAGTACCGCGCAATTCAAGGCTATATAACCTGCATACAAAACCGGCACACAGCATGTGTCGCATTCGGTAATACCAACGTTTTGCAATAAGGGTTAGATCACATGTATTTTAAGGATAATTCACATTATACACATAGGGTGTGTTCGGGGAGAGCGCTACCAGCGTTTCTTTTTCTTCGTTTTTCCTTTTGTTTAGAAAGAAGAAACACGAAGGAGAAATGTTAATAGCGCTAATCGCGTTTCCCCGAACGCATCCATAATATCATTGGCCAAGTTTATTTTGCTCGCTTTCAGGACGAAAGCGAGCAAGACAAATGGGGTAATAATGTGAATTTATCTTAACATAGAAACATTTTTAGCATCGTACATTGTTATTTGTCCTGAAATACACCATTATACATAGAATTATTCCAGGGCAGTCCTGGAAATCACTATTGTCCTGAAAGCTGCCATTATGCAAGTGTCTTGAAAGACTTTAAAACATAATATCTCGAGAACGGAAAAAAACATTTAACTTTTTTAGGTCACAATCAGTTTGCTTTATTAAAATGTATTTAAAAACTGTAAGATTTTTAACTGTCTCGGAACAAACCCTTTGACATATATATATATATATATATATATGGAAGAGAGCGTTTGGAACGACGCATCCAGTTGCCGTTGGAGTTGATATGTGGCAAACAGTTCCTCCAGCGACAGCATCACGGAGAAGGGGTTTGTGATCAGACCCGGGCGGAGGTTTAGTGGGTAGAACTAGCTGAGGCTGATGCCTCGGCTGGGATCTCTACGGCAGTCGGGTCATTTCAATGGCTCGATTACGTGGGGAAACTAGCCGGGGCGAGGTGCCTCAGTACCGGGGTAATTAGTACCCCGGGCATAGGTGAGTCCCACATAACCCGGTGGGCCGACCCACCGTGGTATGCGTAAATGCATTCCTCCGCCTTGCGCCGATCGCAAAAAAAAAAAAAGGTCGAGTAGTGACCCAGCCAGTGAAGGCAAGGTCGAGTAGTGACCCAGTCAGTGAAGGCAAGGTCGAGTGGTGACCCAACCAGTTAAGGCAAGGTCAAGTAGTGACCCAACCAGTAAAGGCAAGGTCGAGTAGTGACCCAGCCAGTGAAGGCAAGGTCGAGTGATGACCCAACCAGTTAAGGCAAGGTCGAGTAGTGACCCAGCCAGTGAAGGCAAGGTCGAGTGGTGACCCAACCAGTTAAGGCAAGGTCGAGTAGTGACCCAGTCAGTGAAGGCAAGGTCGAGTGGTGACCCAACCAGTTAAGGCAAGGTCAAGTAGTGACCCTGCGACCGACGACTGGCCGCCACTCGGAGATCCAGCCATCACAGGTGCTGCAGCTAACCATCCCGCACGAGATAACGGACCAGCAACACGCTCTGCAGGAACTTCCCCATACTGCATAAACCCTTTGCGCAACATATGTAAATATAATAAAATATTTAACCCATAGGCTAAGATAGTTTTAAGGACCTATATGGAAGCTTAAGGTATCCAGCATTCCGGATAGCAGATACGAGGAGATTTATCCATGTAAATTTAATAATAACCGGTCAGGTAAGATTTATGATTTACCTTATTCTTTTAAGTTAATGCATGGATGAAAAATAGTGTCAAGCAAAACTATCCATGGAAAATCTAAGTTTAATGATTTTATCTAATGAAAGTTTATTTTAAATATTTTATGGTTTACTTTAGTTTTCTAAGTTAACGCATAGATGAAAAATAGTTTCAAGTAGAACTATTTATGGGAAACGTAAGTTTAGTGATTCCATTCAGTTAGAATTCATTTTAAATTATTTTATCCATACAAAGTATGAGACTAACGTTCATTTTAATTTATAACTAAATGCATGGATAAACTTTCCTCAGAACGAGTCGGGGAGCAATCCCATGGACGCGACATACCTAAAATATCGCGAGAAGAATTACGCGACTCTAATAAGTTATAATAATAGGATAGCCCGATGGAATGGTTCTGACACCATGAGTCGATCACTGGACCATTAGTTCATGGGGTCCAGTAAATCTAGAGCACCCAATGAGGATTCTAAAGTCAATGAGAAAGTTGCACAAAAGGGTGTCAGAATCATCCCAAACGAGCATATCAAGTTTTTAAACACAAGTTCCAGCAAACTTAGTTGTGAGATGATAATTTTGTTTTCAAAAATTTACATTTTACTTTTACACACATTATGATTATAGTGAAAAATTATCAAAGATAGATTATTTTCATTTCAAAGGATGTGTTATGATTTTACTTGACAATGTTATGTCATATGTCATTCTATTTCAATTACATTGTATTTATCTTAAAACTAATATAAAAATCAAAAAATAAATATATACGGTAAAATTACAAAAAAAATATATAATTGATAAAAATACAAAAATATGTTAGATGATAAGTTGTAAATAAGTGTAAGTACCGATAATAGTATGTCCGTGTACGTATAAGTTAAATATAAGCGTTTTTGAAAAAATATATTAAAATAGGAACTCTAGTTGAGTCGGCTTTGCATAGCGAAAATCCAAATCGGGAACTCTAGTCGAGTATACTCTACTCCCGAGCGCCGCGATACGCCGGAGCCTCAGCGGTGGGGCGCCGCGCGCTCATTGGCCGGGGGGCCGAGAGCGGGGCGCGCTACTCCCCGACGACTATATAAGGCGCGACGCCGAGCGGACTCGACACAGTCGCTCTGAATATTTTCAACGCTGAACTACAGTCACTCCGCGTGTTAACTAAGAGTATCTACGTCCGTTGTTTAATGTTCCGCGAACTTCGACGCGTATTCATTACGATAGTTACGAGTGCTTTGACGAGAAACTTAGTACATCGCGACGGGGATTCGAGTGATTACGAGCCGTATGTTGTAACTCAGCTTAAGTCTCGCGCGAATTATTACGTGAATGCTAGTAGCGTAATAATAGAGTGATTTGTTCGACTTGTGCGCGTCTCCGGACAAAGACACCTGTCGTTAAAATTGTAGAAAAGGAACGTGAGGAATTATTGTGCATCGTTCGGACTAACGAGTGTGAGAACTGGTCCTCAGTAAAAACGTCAATAAATATTGTGTTGGACATAAACAGTTTTTTCATACTTACCTTCGTTGTGCATCCCACGTCATATCCTCTCGAATTTTTCCTAACTGCGTTGGTGATGAAAGATCCCGCGACGACCTGGAAATAAGTGAGAAAGTGAGTACGTACTTGGATTACCTGCCTCGAGCGCGGATTGCATCATCCCGACTCGACTACGTTCGACGCGGCGGCGGCGACCATCAAAGGCGGCGCGCGGCATCACAAAGGACGGCGGCGACAAAGGGTCCTCGGCGGCACTCAATACCTTGTTCTTTGTATAGGATAAAAGAACTGGCGACCTTTCCGGTGAAAGCGGTGGCCCCTGTGATTGGTAAGTCCGAAGGAAAGATACCTACCCATACAGGTTCGGTCACAGTGAAATAAGCCGCCGTGAGTAGTATCAATTGCGAGCCATAAAGGCGATCGGCATAAGTCCCGATACGTCAAACCTGGCGACCGTGACACTCGTTGAAGAATAAATTCGGCGAGCAGCGGATAACGAGGCTTGCATATACACGGTTATCAAATAAATAAAATTTCGCGAATATTTCGAGAAAGTCGTACAATATTACGCGAATAGTGAGACACAGTTAACTTTGTGCAAATAAAATATTTATTCGTGAAGCAATTAACTTAGAAGCGGATAATATATAGTTAGTCACGTGAAATAAATTCGTGCATAAAATAAATTCGCGATGCAATTAACTTAGAAGCGAATACAACAGTTAGTCACGTGAAATAAATTCGTGCATAAAATAAATTCGTGATGCAATTAACTTAGAAGCGAATACAACAGTTAGTCACGTGAAATAAATTTGTGCATAAAATAAATTCGTGAGGAAATTAACTTAGAAACGAATAGTATATTAATAGTTAGCCACGTTAAATAAATTCGTGCATGAATGTAAAACGCGATATTTGCAAAAATTTTCGCGAATTTCAGCTGTAAATCCAAAGGACTGTGAATATTCGAAAGAATTTCATAAAGCGCAAACAATCCTTCAACAAAGGGCGGCGCGTATCTTAGCGATTAGGATTGAGAACCCGAAAGCGGATATAAAGTCAAATAAATTTGGTTTGCGAAATTTTTTACAAAAATAATAAAACGCGATATTCCGACAAAGAATTTTCGCGTATTTTAGCTGTAAATCCAGACAACGATTAGCGCACAAAATCCTTCAACAAAGGGCAGCGCGTATTCAGCGATTAGGATTGAAAACCCGAAAGCGAATATTAAGTCGAAAAATTTGGTTTGCGAAATTTTTATAGATTTTCAGCTCAACGATCAAACCGGTCGATTAAAAACGAGTTGATTAAATAAATTAGCTATAGCATTACGCGTAAATTAGCTACAATTCGGGTAAATTAAAAAACCTGTAAATTCGGCAAAAATGGACGGAGCTAACGGACCCCAAGACAAGGAGTTCAAGGGAGTTATTCACTCACCACCGATGAGCCTACGCTCAGGAAAAATCCGTAATCCAACGCGTAAGACCGAAGAACCTGAACAAGGTGTGTCAACACAGACGACACCCAAACAGGAAATCGATCCAAAGATTCTCGAACTGGAATTAAAGTTCGATGCGATACTCAGTGCGATTAAAAACGCAAACACCTTGAGACAGAGGCGCGACTCGCGAAGCTCGATATCATCGGACGGAACGGACAACAACGCGTCCTTACCGAGGCAGTACGTAGCACCACAAGACGGCATACGACTTCCCAGAGGAGGATGGATCAAAAACCCTTTCGACGAACTAAGGTTCAACGGAAGGATCGAGGAGACGAATCCCATTCGCTTTCTCAAGAAATTCAACAGCATCGCGACACACGAAGATGTCGACGATCGCGACTTGCTTCACTTCTTCGGAAGATGCATGAAGGACCAAGCGAGCATTTGGTTCGAATTGCAAGAATTCGCGCACGTTAATGAAGCACGGGATGCTTTCACAAAGCATTACTGGGGCGAAGTACAGCAGGCGAAATTCCGCGAAAAAATCTACATGGGTCAATACCGAGCAACGAAGACATCGAGGATGTCGGACTACGCTTTGGACTTGGCGCGACAAGCGAAATACCTTGATCCGCCCATGAGCGATTTGGAGATC